AAAAAAAATGAAACTACAACTTTTCGCCATTTTGGCGGTTGCTATCACCGTTTTGGTTTGCGTGGCGGCAGCACCAGGACGCCATCAGAATCCACCAACAGTGCGCCCACAGCCGCCACCACGTCCCATCCGAGTACGTCGCTATGCTGAACCAGGACGCCACCAGAATCCACCAACAGTGCGTCCACAGCCGCCACCTCGTCCTATTCGTGTACGTCGCTATGCTGAACCAGCACGCCATCAGAATCCACCAACAGTGCGTCCACAGCCGCCACCTCGTCCCATACGCGTCAGACGTTATGCGGAACCAGGACGCCATCAGAATCCGCCAACAGTGCCCCCACAGCCTCCACCACGTCCCATCCGAGTACGTCGCTATGCTGAACCAGGACGCCACCAAAATCCACCAACAGTGCGTCCACAGCCGCCACCTCGTCCTATTCGTGTACGTCGCTATGCAGAACCCGCACTTCATCAGAATCCACCAACAGTGCGCCCACAGCCGCCACCACGTCCCATACGCGTACGACGCGATGTAGCTACTGGTGGCGCTGTGTCAACTAACCCAAATGGTGGACATGATGTTAAGCTAGAGATCGCTAAAGGCTTAGGCACACCCGATGCTAATGTGATTGGTAGCGCGTTTGCGATGGGCAATACCAAAGGTGGACCGGTGACTACTGGCGGCAGTTTGGCTGCTAATGTGTAAGTGAATATTGAGCCTTAATAATTTATATTTCGCAGCGTCTAATAACGCTTCTGATTTCTCCACATAAACAGCAAGGGACTTGGCGCCTCTATTACCAAAGAGCATACGCCTGGCATCAGTGATACGCTAACTAAGAGCGCTTCGGCAAATGTTCTACTGAATGAAAATAATCGCTTGGATGCATCCATCTTTAAAGCCGACACAAAATTGTCAAATGGCTTCGAGTTTGAGAAGAAAGGTGGCTCGTTGGCCTTAAACAACGCCGGCGGTCATGGCATATCCATTGCCAAGGAGACCATACCCGGTTTCAGTGACTCGCTAACGAAATCTGCGCATGCTACATTCTTCAATAATGGCGCGCACAGCGTGGGCGCCAATGTGTTTGATACCAAAAAATCCTTCGACTTTGGCCCCACATTACGCGAAACAGGTGGAAATCTCAATTGGGCGCATACGAATGGCCATGCCGCGAATTTGGGTCTTTCCAAGGTTCATGATTTTGGCACCAAATTTAATTATGGCGCAAGTTCGAATTTATTTACCTCAGCTGATCGCCAAACGAGCTTGGATTTCAATGCTGGCGGTTCACGTTGGCTGAATGGTCCGCTGAGCGGCAGGAATGACTTCAACAGTGGCTTTGGGCTTTCGCACAGATTCAGTAATTGGGGTTAAGAGAGTTGATGAAGGGTTTGGATTGTGGGACAGAGTAGAGTATTTGTTTGGTCATAAAACATAATGCGGCAAGAATTATTTATTTATTTGCATACATATGTACATGCATATGCATTTGTAATTAGGATTTTTTTAAGTACGAAAATGTAATCGAAAAATAAAATAAAATACTAGACTATACTATAATTTATCAAAAAACTTAAGCCAGTTTTATTAGACTTAGTCCACATTTAGTTAGGTTGGGAGGGCGTGCGTAGAACAATCCACGATTCACAGAATTGTCCATTGTGAATGCCCCCTTTAAGTGAGTTTCAGGAGGAGACACGTACCTACATATAACCAAAATAGTAGCTTCAAGTCATTATTCTACTGAACCGATTACTATCTCTAATAAAGCCGAGGAGATCCAACATTTCCCCCTCCGCTATCTCGCCCAGACTGTTGAAGAAGCGTGAACCCAAGTGCTTGAGGCGCTTCGTCTGTAGACCTGGACATCGACCTAGAAAGTGGTCAATTGTTTCCTCCTCATCCTCAACATGGGCAAGGAAGCTCAGATAAAGAACTGCGTAGGGATAGACCCAGAATCCTTCAGAGGATGCCATTTAACGCCGTAACACGAAGTAGGCATCTCTTACTGGCCATTGCTTGGCAATGAAACACTTGTCAAACATAGGAGTTGTTAACTGTGATCAGTGTACTTGTGTACAGAAGAACATTAAACAGCAGCCAAACAATTTGCCACTATGAAGCCCTGACTACGAGAAGACTTCGCATCCTCGGATCACAGTACCTACAAGCACACGACCTAAATGGCACTCAGTCAAATGACCTCTCGAGGCTTCTTAATAATACGTCGATCAAAGAAAACTTGTATCCAAAAAGAGGTTTGTTACAATAAACCATTTTACGGCACACAAATGTGGCTACATATTAATGTCCCTTGTTTTATTTATTCCGCGTAATTCATCCCTTCAAAAACGTCCCATTATTTTGCAAGCTTCCATTTCCCCTTCGCACTACAGCTGTGTGCTTGTCCCAAATAACCGTTAGAAATTACCCGAAAGTTTTGTCGGCTACTCAGCTGTTTCAAAGTTTTTACGGCGTGCTTTCAGATCAACATACTCACATTCTCACCCGGCAGCTTTTGCACTCTCAAAGGCGACCTGCGCTCAGCAGCCATTATTTGCCATCAAATTTCACCCGCACACAACGGTAATTTCTCACAAAAAAAACAGTAAAAAAAGCTTAACCGCTTGCATGGCTGTGTCGGCGCTTCCGTTTGGTCCAGCTGGTGGCCACTGGCACTCGCTACAATCGCTATTTAAGTGCCTGTTATAAGCCGCTAGAATTCAGTTCGTGTTCTAGCGTTTGCGAAGCCGTCGTCGTCGGAGTGTACGCGCATTAGCGAATTCCTTTTTCGCTTAGTGTTTGATAGCCTTGCAAGACAAGCTTACAGCCTTATGTAGCTGTTGTGTAGCAAGGACACGAGTGTTTCAAAGTACATATGTACGTATGTTTTCTCGGTTGTCGGTTATTTCGTTGGCTAGTGGATAATTGGCTAAATATGGGACGCCAATTGCCCAACGGTCGAACTGATGATGTCCAGCGGTCACTTGCAAGCGGCGTTTAATGAAAGTTTCGTTGATTTAGCTGTGAGTTTTTAAGTTGGATTTATTGAATGCAGTGCTGATTTTTGTTTTCGTATACATATGTACATACATATGTAGTTGTAAGTTTGTTGGATACCACACACACACACACACACACACATGCGGTATGTTGTGGAGCTTTAGTGATTTCGCACAACAACTCAGTCGCCGGGTTGATTGAATTCGGTGGATTGGACGGTGTTGGCCGTCGTCGTCATCATCGTCGCGGTGAGCAGCTCCATTCTTCAGTCTGTTATTGACTTTCGTGTTGTACGCGTGTAGCCGAGACGCTGCTGCTTAGTATTCGTTGGTGCGGATTTGCTTGTGCTCGTTCGGACGCATATCCTGTTTTTTTCGCAGTGCCAGCACAGATTTTATCGTGTGCGCTGGTGTGAGTGTAATCCTTTGTAGGCGATAAAATTAAATTTTCCGCTTACATTTAAGCTGGTTGTTGTGAATCGATGTGAAAAACGCGTTGTATTAGTGTGTGTGTGTGGAATGTTTTTTTGCTTTTAGGCAGGTACCTGAGTCTCCTCTCTGCGTTCGCATCCGGTGGCGAAAGGCTGTTAACAAAGGAGTTAAAATAAAGTAGAAAGAAAAAAGTCGAGCTTTTCCTTTGATTTTTTATTTTGGAAGGATTAAATGGCTTGAAACTGCTGCCGCATATTTGACTTTCATCCTGTTGACACGAACTGACCAAGTAGGATTGTGGAAAAATCGAAATGGCATATAAACGGTGAAATTAATAGGTGTAAGGATGGTGGAAGAGGTGTACAGAAAAATTTGACTTAAAAACAAAGAAGTAAATATAAAATTATATTCAACAATTTTTAAACATAAATATAAAATAAAAAATAAATAAAAAAGTGGCAGTCAGAAACTGGCTTTAAACTCGAAAATTTTAAATTGGTTCAACATTTATACTCAAAAAGCGCAAATAAAAAACTTAAAAAGAAAAAACAACACAAATATTAAAACTAAAAGAGAAAACTTGAACTGCCACTAGCCTCGAAAAACTCAAAACTCTAACCACATTAAAATTTTTTAGGAGAAAATCCTTTCAACTTTGGAGTCATTTATTAAAATTAGATAAAATGCAGTAAAAAGTAGAAAAAAATGAAAAAAAAATTATATTAGATGTCAAAAATATGCTAATAAATACAATAAATGACCAAAAACTAATCCTAAAAAATACTAATAAATACAATAAATGTCCAAAAACTAACCTAACAAAAAAAAAAATAATGATACAAATATTTTTTGGGTTGTGACTTTTAAAGTTTAAAGGAGCCATATACTCACAGTGTCATAATAATAAGCGCACGTACATTTTATATTATTTAATTTAAGATTTTTTTATTTATTCTTTACCTACATTCATTCATTCAAAATAGTCATTCATTTAAAATAGATAAAATGCATTAAAAATTATAAAAAAAAAAATAGTTTTAGATCTCAAAAATATATCTACTAATAAATACAATAAATGACCAAAAAATAATCCTAAAAAATACTAAGAAATAAAATAAATGACCAAAAACTAACCTAACAAAAAAAAAACAATTATGATACAAATATTTTTTGAGTTTTTACAGCCATATAGTCACAGTGTCATAATAATAAGCGCACGCCCATTTTTTTGTTATTTAATTTCAGATATTTTTTTATGAAATTAATTTATTCTTTAACAAAAACACTATAAATCCAAGTTTTATAGAATATTTATAAAAAATTAATCAACCTTTCGTAAAAATTTCAAAATTACTAATTAGATTTCTCATAAAGATTTTGAGTATGCATTTTTTTTAGCTTATTCAATATTAGTATGTATAATAAAGTGCACGTTTGTGGCACCACTGATTTTTTGCTGACGATGTGGGGCATTATTGTCCATACAAAGAAATAAAAATAAGAAATATTTTCATAAAAAAAATTACTAAGATTAAATACCAAAAAACAAAAAAAAAATTGTTAAAACCTTCCAATTTGTGGTGCGCTTATAATTATGACAGGGGATGTGTATGTACATATTGAAATTCTTAAAAACAGAAATTACAAAAAAAAAAAAAAAAATAAAAATACAACAACCGACAACACAAAGTTATAAAAAAAGATGTCGAAAATGAAATAAAAATCAAATTAAAGTTAAAGAAAATTAATTTGGTGATTTTCCTTAAGCTGGTAAATGTACCGAAACCCTCGAAAAACTCTAATCATCCAATATTTGTACTGAAAAAAATTTCGAATTTTTACGAAAAAAGTATCTTGCTCTTTATATCAAGTCTTTGCATTCCTTTATTTCCCAGTGAAGCGCCTGTATTGTCCGCTTCCCCTTTTATGTGTCCACGCAGTAAATTTTTTTATAATGCTTTCTTGCTATGAATTGTTATTTTTATGCCTTGCCATAAGGACACGTGTCAAAAGGATAAACAAGGCCAGTGCGGTTGCGTATGAATAGCTGCGTGGGCCATATTTTTAAAAGTGTTGTTGAAAGGATAGATATCAATTTTTTGCTACTCAATTAGGCTGTCATCAAAAATAGGTTGTAAATTGAAGTACATAAAAAGGAAGGGATGAAGCGTAGGTTATTGAGATTCTATGAAAAGCCAATGAAGCTTAAAAGGCAAAATACGAATATGCACACATACATATATACATACGTATTGTATATTTGTATAAGTAAATATAAAGCATTTTATGGGGTTCAAGCAAAATTAATTTATTTTTATACACTTTTAAGTGATGCTCTGCAAGTGCTATTAAAATGCCTTAAGTATGGAGTGTCCACGCATGTGGCTGGGTTCAAATAAAGGTTTAATTAAATTGAGAATATGTGTGCAGGTTTAAACACAGAAGCATAAATATGAAGGACGTGTGTTGAATGAATAGCGTTCCTTGCTGGTGGGAGGCACATTAAACTAATTTTTGCTAACTACAGTTTTTTGAAGAGAGAATTCATAAATTTGAATTGCGGCGAGGCTAAGCCGATGAAATTTCAGCAAAGTGTATTTTAAAGCATTAAAAAACTTGTGGAAATTTCAGGCGAGATTTACATATTTAGTGTAACACGAAATTGTTTTTTAATCCATTTGAGTTCCTGGATACAAAGCGACAACCCTTTAATCCTTTGACTCTATTCGGCTGTGGGGGGCAATTGGAAAGATGTGGAACCTCAAATGCGTAATCTTCGTTATTCAGACACCAATGAACTTCGACATGGATATTTCGAAGCTCGAAAAAAAGGTTGATGGAGGAGCAGTTTGCCATTCAACAAACTCAAATTCAGACTTCCAGTTTACGGTACATAGCGCTTTCCAGACAGAGATTGCTGCCATTAAGGAGGCTGTTGGTTTATTGGTTGCTTAAAGACGTCACAAAGAAGAAAACATTTATTCTGATAGCCAAGTGTTAATCAAGGCCTTCGGGATGCCTTAGCTCACTTTAACAGGTGCCGGATTTTTTTCTGGCCAGACTTACATATGTATGTGGTTAACAGGCCACAGTGATATTGCATTGCGTATGAATTGGCTTGGAAATACACTCTTAAGTCAGTTTCACTGTATTGTATGCTATTACAACAACAACAACAGAGCGGGAGTGCCTATTCCTATATGCGGGTCTGTTGCCAGTTCAGCGAATGCTGGACGAAAACACCATTACGTTTGCAGCAGCAAGGTCTGACGTAGCAGTCAAGGGATCACAAAGTCACGACACTCAATGCTGGCGAATGTATTGAAAGAACATTTTACAAATGGTTTTCTATTTTCTATCCAAAGCAGTGTCAGACCTTTTTGTTCGCATGGAAACTTTTGTATACGGCCTTTTTTTACAATAGAAGGGACAGTAAAGGCGGCTTTCTTAACATTCAATCAAAAGTTATATTTGCTGGAATCTTATACTTCTCTATTCTTTGGCTATTTACTAGAACCGCTGTCGTTTGATCTGCTACAGCGATTTTTCAAAATCTAATCCAAATCTCTTCCACCAGTTCTAGAAACTTTTATAGGCATTTGACTGAAGGGGCAAGGGAAGAATAATTCAAACAAGAAACAAGGTATTTTACAAAGACAGTAGGCGTCTTCAAGTCTTTCATTAGCTGAGATTTAATTATAGAATTGGCTATAGCAGTTAAGCATATCGCCCAGATTTTATTATACAATACAACGATTGTTGATTTTTTTCGATTTATACATCTTTGGCAAGACTTTTACTTTGCTTGCCTTCCGTCGGCGGCTGTAAATAGCTAAAATCATTAAGTGAATAAATTTTGTTATTATGAAGAAATATGTATATGAAAAGAAATTGCTGAAACTAACTTTTTTCAAATCGGGATTTATCGGAGATTTCTATTTAATATGAGTAACTCATGTGCAGTTGAACTAAACCGAGAAAAATTTTTTTGTTTACGTTTTTTTATTAAATTCAAAAATTCAGAACTTCTACATCCTTTAAGATCTATCTCTTAAAAAATGTTATTAGAAAGGAAATTTGTTTAGTATTTTTACTGAGCATGGTTTGGTCAAAATAAATTTGGGAATGTGGTTCGTAATTTTAAATATTAGAAGATATATAAAAGACATTTTGTATGAAAAATTATTAACGTGGTATGGCAGATAAATAACTTGATCCACTACCATTCCAATGATACCCAACTTTTGTAATTAAGTAGGGAAAAAACGGTAAACTTATAAGGAATTTCTTTGACGCAAATTGACTGCTTTATCAATATTTGTTACGCCAATAATTTTTATGAAGAGATTTTAAAATTTTTTTTAGTAAATTTCTGTCAGTTTTAGTACGAAGTCAATTGACATCACGAAATTTTCTTTTTCGATAACTTGTTTTAGCTACTGTCCGAAAGACGCTTTTTGTTCTAAACACACTTTGCCTTCAAATTGTATTCTAAATCGATTTTGCATACATACTTAAATATGTATCTATAAAATTGGAAAGTAGAGAATTGTAGAAAACAATGAGTAAGAATTTTTCTCTGATTAAACCATAGAAATCCAATAAGCCACAAAAGAACAATACAACAACGGAATATCTACTTTGTCAAAGCGAGATCTTCTATTCAAAAGTCAATGAAATTTAACAATACTCTTCTTCTGATAATTTAATTTTTTAGTTACAAAATCAGAAATCAAAGTAAATATAATAGTGACTATCATTTTAATAGCAATCCTTTGCTTGCCACAGTGGATAATCCCTTTTTACCATTAATCAGACTGTATGCTATGAAAAGTATATGTGTGTGGCAGTCAAGCAATCACACTGTTTAAAGATACATATATGTATTTATGTATGTGTGTCTATGTGTTAGTCACTGCAAGTAATTAAGACGAGAAAGTATATAATCATACAAATAATGAGGCTTCCGGCATTCTTTGTCCAGCATAGAAAGGAAATTGATTGAAACTGAAATATATCTACATACATATGTACATAAATATGTAAGTAAGTATTTACATCTCTATATACTTTGTCGCACTTCCTTTTTGCTGCTCAGGGCAAATATATTGGATTTGTAGAAAGTACAAAATTTCGTGTTGATTGAAATCTTGTTTGATGAAAAAGTGCCTTTGATATGCACACACATATTCGATATTTTTTCAAACCAAGACGTAATTAATACGAATTTATATTAGTGCTGAGATTGAAGAGGATCAGAAGTTTATGAGCACTTTTGTTTTTGTTTTCGGTATATTTGCTGTTTTAATTGATGACATACAGTATCGTTACATATAGCACCTTTCTACATTTTATTCAGTCTCATTGCAACCGCTTTACTTATTTCATTTTTAGTGGCATTGCACACTTTCTACTTGTCAGCCTTTATGTAGAGTCCTCCAGACAATAACTTTTATCTTCACTTTTCTCTTAATTTTCGCTATAGCCGCGTAGGTAGTTCTGGCTGCGCCATGTAAAAATTGTTTTCCTAATTGCGGTCACCCCTCGTCAAGCAGTGGCAAACCTTAGACTGTATTTGTTGCCATGAAAAAGCTTCTAAAAATCAATACATTTGTTTAATACGAGCATCATTAAGATTCTTACCACCGACGCAGACGGAGATCGGCAAAATACGTAGAAAAATGTATAAGCACTAAATCTTAAATTTTTTTATACAATAATATACGCTAGACTTTTCCCTTGCGAGCTAGCTGGTGCCAATCACATTCGCTACGTAAGATTTTGTCTCCCACAAACACGGACTTTCAAAAAAGGGCAAGTCGCCCGCTTCTTCTGCTAGAATGAACTCTTCTTCATATTTTTGTTCAAAAAGTTGCAGCATCAGGTGAACTGCAACTGCGCTTAACTAGCAACTATTCTCATACAGGTACACTTGGAAAGATGCTAGCGTTGAAAAGATCCGGAATTCTTCACTTTACGGCCAAAGAGATCTGGTTGGTTATTGCACCCTTCTTCCAGAATAGTATTTACGTTGGCACACAGATTATTCAAAGATGGACCAGAAAGGGGGTACTGGTATTTACGGGCCTGGCTATAAATTTTTGACTCCAATGAGAAAATAGGTCACGGCGTTTCCGGCGGAAGTGCTAGCATTCTTAGTCGGGCCAGAAAGCCAAGCCACCAACATCATGATCACCTATCAACATCATGATTACCTACTTTAGGCAGCGAGAAATACGGTAACACAGTGCCTTTACGGCGTCGTAGGTAACGTGGTTTGCGACGAGCTGGAACGAGAGCACTCCAAAAGAAACTTTTTGTAGAACCGAAAACAGTTTGTGGTCTAAGTTGATCTTCTTCAAGAGGTATAAATTTCTGACTGAAATCTGAATACAGAAAAGTAGAGGGGAGTGATAGGCGAGCTATACCAGAGTCTTCGACTATCCTTCCAATATAAGTGCTACATATTAAGGAGTCTTCTCAATTGAGCATATACTCTTGCCTGTTATGAGCAGCTTCCATTTCGCATACACCGAATCCGTCTGACCAAAGATTCAGAACGCACGGACTTCAGAGCGCATTCTTTGCGATTGTACGGCCTTGGATAGACTAAGAATAATGCATTTAAAAAGGGCTTTAGTCGAAACGCTTAAAATTAGGAATTTGCTTATCAAAGCCTTTTAGCATTTATTACAAAAGCCAGGTATCTTGGGCATTCAGGCTTACAGGCACTCTTTAGGGGTACAAATCATCTTAATTGTCGCTGTGCCCCTAGTTCTACTAGCTAAAATTAACCATGTACAAAGGGTAATTACGCAATGCAAAAAATTTACAAAAGTTTGAGGTGAAAAAAATCGGACCAACTGCATTCCACTGAGGTGGTCAAGTGATGAAAAAAAAACCGAAAGGATTTTCAAAAGCTACCTATTTTTACGTACTAAATTTGAAATTTGGATCTAAGATCCCAAAATGACAATTTATAATTTATTTTTATTTTTCAGATTTCTCTTTGAAATCAATCAAAATCAAAAAAAAAAATACTTACTTGAGTCACACAAATTATACAAAATGTATAATATAAATATTTTCTATTATTACTGATTAAAACCGCTAGAGTAAACCGCCGCCCCACAGTGGCCCCAAACTGGAATTTTTTGTTAAAAATAGTTCAGAGCATTTATTTTTCAACCGATTTGATTATTTTTTGTTTGAGATTATTTTTGAATTTTTATTTGATTATCCTGTTGCTGCTAATAAATGTTATATAATAAAAACTTGTTGAAGATAATTGCGGGGTTACCCTCAAATTAAACAAGTAAGAAAGTCTAAGTTCGGGCGGAGCCGAACATTAAATACCCGGCGCAAGTATTAAATATATGTTTTCCACCTTTCCGAAAGCTACCGCTACATGATAAGCCGGGGTGCGAAATATTGCAGTTTCAAGCATTTCTGAAATTTACCGTTATATAAAAAGCGGCCGTAATTTTAGTCCGATTTCAATAATTTTCAACGTTTTGCTTTTAAGTGGCAAGCACAATAACCACACCGAGTTTGGTACAAATTGGTAGAACGGTTACCGATATACATATATGTGATCACAAGTGGGCGGTGCTACGCCCATTTTCCAAAATTTTGTCATAAACGTATTTCTTGGTAAAGAATTGTTGCAATCATCAATTTTGAATAAATTTGCTTCAATATTTACTGATTTATCGAAGATTTTGTATTTCTCGAAATTACCGTTATATGGGATGTGGGCGTGGTTATTGTCCGATTTTAGAAATTTTCGGCAAGTTGGTATGCTGTACCAGGACTAACAACTGTGCCAAGTTTGGAAGAAATTGGTGTAGCGGTTACCAAGATATACACATGTAACCATAAGTGGGCGTGGCTACGCCCATTTGCCAAAATTTTGTAATATTCTTATTTTTCGTCTAAAACTCATTGCAAATATCATTTTTTAGTGAATTATCTTCAGTAGTTACTAAAATATCGCAGTTTTCGTTTTTCTGAAAATTACCGTTATATGGGAGGTAGGCGTGGTTATTGTCCGATTTTTAAAATTTTCAGCCATTTAGTATGCTGTACTAAGGCCAACAACTGTGCCAAGTTTGGAAGAAATTGGTGCAGCGGTTACCAAGATATACACATGTAACCATAAGTGGGCGTGGCTACGCCCATTTTCCAAAAATTTTTAATATTCATGTTTTCCGTCTGAAACTCATTGTAAGTATCAATTTTGAGTGGATTATCTTCAGTAGTTACTAAAATATCGCAGTTTTCGTATTTCTTAAAATTACCGTTATATGGGAGGTAGGCGTGGTTATTATCCGATTTCGCCCATTTTCAATACCATCCGTCCCACGCCCAAAAGAAGTTCACGTACCAAGTTTCGTTAAGATATCTCAATTTTTGTGCACAGACGGACGGACGGACGGACGGACGGACGGACGGACGGACAGACAGTCACCGCTTAATCGATTTCTCTGTTCATTCTGATCATTTATGTATACATTTGTCTATATCTATCTCGATTCGTTTTGCCTGTTACAAACAACCGTTATGTGAACAAAGTTATAATACCCTTGTGCACAAGTGCGCTCGGGTATAAAAAAAAAACCAAAAAAAAATTATATGAAAAATTTCAGATATTTAAAAAGAAATTTCACCAAAATTAACAAATTAGTTTTTTTGATTATTAGAAAACATTTAGGTATGCAGTTTTGTAGGTCACTAAATTTTATAATTTTTTTTTCTAGCGTTGCTAGGCATTTTCTTCCATGTACATATAAAATATGTGCTTGAAATGTCAGAAAAAAAATTAAAAAACAACACGAATGCTAAGCCACTTGAAATTTGCACTTTTTGCATTAAAATTTAATGGGCTATGAAACTGCTTACCTAAAATTTTTCTAAAAAATTCTGAAAATTTTGAAGTTTTAAAGAAATTTTTATTTATGAATTTAAACTTTTACTTTTGCGGTTTCTTCCTCAAAGTTTAATTCAAAATACCTTTATATAAAAAACTTGTTTCACTTTCATAAATAATTTTATTAATTAAAATCGATTTGTAAGCAAAAAACAAAAGTATAGAAAATTTCATTTGTGAATTTTTGGTCCTTAGATCCCGATTTTCAAATAGATATAAAATTGGCAATAAATTTTTACACTTACTTAGGTATTTAGTAATGCTTTGATCCCTTTAAATGAATGCAATTTGTATCATTCCCATCACGTTTTGAGTGTTGGCAATATGTATGTATGTATGTTTGAAGAAGTAAAATTGGATTTTAAATAAATAAAATTATTAATCAAAAATAAATAACAGAAGAAAATTCATACATATATGTATGTATGTACATATATTAGGGTGGTCCTTAAAAATATCAACACATAAATTTTGTAGAACAAAGTAAATACAACCACAAAAAAATTCAAAATTGTCAATAAATTTTTTGGGGTCGCTACAATGTTTTGAAAAATTTTAGTATTTGTCAACTCGCAAAAATTCTACAAAATTTTGCCTTAAAATCTGATTAATTTGAAATTTTATTGAGACTTATTCATAAACTCGCTGAGTAAAACATTTGTAGAATTTTTTCGATTAAAAAAAATTAATTTTTCAAACCCTGGTTGCGATTCCTAACATTTTTTTTTAATTTTGAAATTTTTGTGGATGGTGTTTAAATTTTAAGGACCCCCCTAATGCATATGTTTTTATTTGTACATCCATTTCCAAGTAAAAGTTAGCCCTAAGACCGGTCTTCTCTTCTTCTTCTGAAAAAAATAAGAAAATACAAGTTGAACCTCCTCAAATATGCTTTCCCTAGTAATGCAAAAAAAATTCTTTTCTTACAGTGAAAATAAAAAAATAATGCAGATTGAAGTGAAAGAAAATTGCGAAAAGTGATACAATCACAGGGCCCTTCACTCTCCAAGGGAGTTAAAATTGCATGTTGCACTCCGAAAATAAACTAAAAAATATTAAAGTGTGATGTGAGAGTGGAAAAAAGACCTGGAGGCAACAGCAAATACAACTAAAAAATGAAAATATAACAACAAATAGGAGATGTAAAACAAAATTCAAGTAAAAAGTGCAAAACAAGTGGAAGTGAAAAGAATATAACCAACAACAAAAGCAAAAGCAACTGCGACAGCAACAGCAACAATGCTATCAACGACAACAATCGTATAAATGTTGCTGGTATTAAGTCATTAAAATATTATCGCACAACTATTATCCTTGTTTGGAAGGGCAAAGGCCGCAGAGACAAGGCAAGCAAGCAGCAAAAGCGTGCAAAGCAAAGCAAAACGAACCATAACTATAGTGAAGCTATCAGAAAGAGCTTGTGTGAGTGGGTGGAGTGTCTGTGCATGTGTGTGTGTGTGCGTGCACGCAAAAGTGTTGGCTGTTGCAAGCTGGCTTTGCTGCTGAATAAACGTATCGAATAACAACAAACAAACAAGTGAAGGGCCAAAGGCAAAAAAAACGAAGAAATAGGAAAATAAAGTAATAATAACAACAGTAAATTATAACAGTGATAATAAAAAGAGGCAGCAGCAACAATAACAACAACTAGCTAGCCAGCAAGCCCGGGTAGTCATACGCTCGAGCTGCTGTGAGCTACAAGAAGGACACGACAAACAAAAACAAAAGCAACAAAAAAACGCACATACCTCTGAGAGCATGCTAGCGCCAATAACAACAAACACAACAACAACAAACGCCACATCTACTGCCACAAACATAGACTCAGATAAGGTTAAAATAGTAGTAGCAAGGATGCCGGCAAAGGTCCTATCAACCAGCTCAGCTGCTAGCAATGCTGGTAAACAGTCGTCGAAATTCGCCGAAGTGGTGGGGAAGTCCCTCATAAATGTAAGAAAATTAAAAGTGCCCAGTCGAAATAGCAGCTGTAGTAGCAACATCAGCGGTGGCACACAGTGGAAGCTAACGACAATGCCAACAGCTACAATGGCAACAGCAACAGCAACAGCACCAACAACCACAACAGCAACAATAGCTGCACATTCAATAACAGCAACAATGCTGAGGAGTAAGACCAAATCACCGCGTCGACGTTGCGCTGCGCTTGTGATAAACAGCAACAGCAGCAGCAACAGCAATCGAAACAACAACTGCCAGAGACGCCAACACTTCAACGCTGCTTCTACTACTACTACAACGCTTGCAGCATCATTATCATCTGTACGTACGCGTGCAATAACACTCTTGCCATCATCCTCATGGATATTTTGCCTTTGGCTATGGATTGCAATTTCGTCGTTGGTATTTGTGCATTGTGTGCCATCACCCTCTTCCTCGTTGTCCGCTTCATCATCGGGCAGCTCGTCGGCAAACTCAGCGTCATCCAACGCAATGCAATCACCACAAAAGCGAGGTAAGTGCGATGTGCATATGTACATACATACATACAATATGTATGCTACATAGACATAAGACAGCCTGAGTGTGCTTGTGAATGGCGAGTGGGGGAGCGAGTGTTAGTTGCAGCTACATATCTCTGCAATAAACCCTTTGCATACATCAATATATATACATATGCAGTAGGAGTAAATGGATAATTGCTTGCATAGCTTTGTGTATGGTTCTAAATACATCCGTACATTTGTACATTTGTGTGAGTAAAAAAACTTTAATACCCCATGGTGAAAGAAACTAATTTAAAGTTCATTGTGCAATTGTTGCTCTGTGCTTATGTGCTATGTCAAATTCAAAATAATGGCATTGCGCTAGGCGTTCGTGCCTGCTGTAGGCATGTTTTTAGGCAATTGGTCCAAAGTTGTGCGTAAAAAACTGATTTGCTATCAACTAGTTGGCAACTAGTTGTTTGTTAACCAGTTTGACAAAAAGTTTTGCAAGCATTTGGACCATCTATACCATATCGAAACACAAATAATCCGAAATTAATGAATTTTGGTAGAAAACCCCGACAAACCGTATTAAAATAAAAAACCTACTAAATTACAGTATATCGAGGGGTTTTACTCAATGAAAATAGCAGATAGAGGGTATTGAGTATACGATCGAGATATGTATGCAAGCGTAGTGCAATCAAAAATTACCATTAAGCCAATTTATATAATATTTCCTAATTAATGTAAATACGTCCATATGACAGGTACCAAAAATAACCGTTAAATATCAACATTTGGGTTTTAGATCAATTTGAAATCGTAAATTTTTTATTTTTATTTTTTTTCGATCAAGACTAGTCGTTAAATATGGATTTCTTATTTTTTCTGTAAAATTTAATGGTTAACTTTGTGACTTTTATTTTTTTCGACCAAAAATAATCGTTATTTTGGATATGTTTTTTTGATATTCTCTAACCGTTACGATGGAGACTGCGGTTTTATGTCCAATTTAAGTATTCTTTGATCTAAAAAATTAAATCTGAAAATAAAATTAAAATATCGATTAAAAATGATTGAAAAATAAAAGTCATAAAATAACGTTTAAATTTTTTCGGAAAAGTAGAAATCCAACTTTAACGCTTAAATTAAAAAAAAGTTTTTTTTTTTATCAAGCTCATAATCGTTACGTTCCGTGCCGTTCGATGTTCACCAGCACCTTTTTCTTCTTTTTTTCTTATTTGGCACTACAACCGTTTGTTGGCTCAGACCGAACTAGTTGCCTCGCCAGGTTTCTACAATTTTAAGCCAAATTTAATTTATCCAAATATTTATAAACATTAATGCACAATAAAAATCCTGCAAACATCGAAATAGTATTTTAAAAAATTATCAACTCCTTATCCTTTATTCAAGCAAAAGTCTTCCAAAACTTCTATATGGTATTTTCTTTCACACTCCCAACTAAAGTTTTCACTTTGTAGCATAGAGCGAGTTCGAGTTGCACTTCAAATTGCCGTTTACTTTGGCTTGAGTGTTGCCATCTGCTTGTATGCCCTAAAGAGCGCTTTCATTTCAGCTTGGCGCTGTAGCTGCTACTCCTCCGCCATACTTCACTTATTTGTTTGCTTATCTGCTTGCTTGACTGAGTGAATGATTTACTTGCATTGAATATTCACAGACAGACAAACACACACATATACATGTAAATACAAAATATAGACATTGCAACTGCTTCTGGGCTATGTTGTTCGAGTAAATTGCAAATAAATGTCCAATATATTCTATTGTTGCTAAAATGAGGGAGTTGAGTTGCAATTTGCCATAAGGTTGCACTTGTACGTATGTACATAAGTAGTAGGCATGTAGTATGAATGCATGTACTCTGCGAGACCATGAAAATAGCTATGGTGTATACATACATAAATACATGCAATTTATGCTTTTAAAGGGCATTCAGTTAAACATAAACATACATACGAGTACATACTAAGTATTGCTTTAATATCTTAATAATATCAGCATAAAGCCGTGATTACCCAGCGTTCGAACTCTTGGATGTTTTCCGTTGCCTGTCGATTCGTCTATATATTCGCGAAATGCTTCAGACTTCTTGTTAAACTCAAATTTTTGAATGACTAAATCTATCAGCACGTCTGAGTTTCTTTTCACCGTAATCAGATAAATGACGTTTAAAAGATTTATGACTGATTCGCTAGTAAATGACGCTATAAAGGTTTAATCCTGAATAAGTTGATTTCAGTATCTCAATTTACAAATTAGTTTCGTTTAAGATGGACTGAAAAGGACATCCATGTGGGACATACTTAGCCATTTAAGCCAAAATCAAAGCTTGATGCCATGTAGCCCGTGGTTTTAAACATTTGCTACCGGACTAAGGCTTAAGGGTGCCTCTGGTCACATATACATAAATATATCTATCTAGTTATTAGACTATCCCCGCTTTCAGCCTGAATAATTCTGCTTTCCAGCTTGGAGTGAACCCAACCAACTACACCGCCGTAACATGGACCTCCATAAGTGATTCAATGATTGAGTCAACTTCAGTGTTTTTTAAGGCGCCCTGTTCTCTGTATCAACAACCACAACTTGCCTCACGAGATGGATAAGTTATTGCTCTTTACTTTATTTCAATCCTCATGGTGATTCAGTGAAAATGATTCCATTTACATTTTTCATTCAGTTTGTAATCATTTGTGGAAACAAATAGAATATATCAGAACTTCTGGCTATGCAGTCATAGTTGCTCGACCATACTAAATTTCAACTCTCGGGTTCGCCTTCGCTGATCCTGACCAACGGGAGATGCAGGGACCAGCTCACGTGAAGTCTTTGGTAATGGCAGAAAGATAGAGATATTTGGTAGGGTCACTTTGGCTTATGTGTCATTCCGCACAGAAAAGACCATTGTGCTGCAATATTGGTTCCGAAAAGCAATTTTAGCACAAGATTTCCAAGTAGGGAGGAGTGGAAAGAATATATTGTCACTCTAGTATTGATATCTATAGAGATGGCTCGAAAATCGACGGTGAGATGGGAGAAAGCGTCTCTTCTAAAAATTTATTTTAGATTGCTGAGGTTACAGCCTCCATGTAGAGAATCTTGGAACCGAAATCCCTGGGGAGAGACATCTTCATTCTTAGTGAATGGCAAGCTGCAATCAAAGCTCTGGGCTTTTTCACGTTTTATACAAAGATTACGCTGGACTGCCGTCTATCTCTACAGGAGATGGCCAGGCAGAACAGACTTCACCTCACTTGCGTCTCTCTGGGGTATAGAGGGAAACTTTTATTTAAAAAAAAAACTGTTTCTTTCGTGCCCTAAATGGGATCGAAAATGGTCACGAAGCCTTAGTGAGGTTTCAAACACCGACGCAAGATGCTGGCTGAGAATCATCAGTAACACGAAATGGTTCAGCGGGTTCATGATAATAAATTCGTGCTTGGCGATTTTAATACCCGGGTGTGGAAGGAAAGGACCCTCGGTATCACCGTCGGAAAATTCTGGATCCAGTGCGAAAGGTCGAGTCATGGTCGTCGGTAGAATAAAAAGATATTTCGGCTATATGGCTGCCTCCAGATCAGAAAACGACAAACCAAATATTTTACGTCTCTAGTGTTTTAGGCGTCGGTCCGGCCCGAGGACCAAATATTGCAAAGCTAGGCGAAAAGAAGAACGATTAAACTAAGGCAATGCTTATACAGAGAGACGGTTCATAAAAAAATCATAGCAAAGACTTGAAGACTTTATTTCCATCTTGCGCTCGCACTGAAGACCGAAGCGCGAGATAATTTAAGACTCAAGAAGAATTGACTGCTTAAAAACAAAGTGCGTGGAAAAGTGTGGCAGCAGGTGCTTTGCGAAGAGTTGGAAAGATATTTAGCAATTAGTATATAGCGCACTTAGGAAAACATTTGTTACACAAGAAGACAGGAAAATGAAAGGGAGAGGAATCGCACAGTGCAATCGCAAAGCTGTGCAAAAACACCTAAATGGAAAGGAAAAGTTTTACATACAAAGTGCCAGCTGTGCGAAAGAAAATGAAAGAGTTCGTTAAGACGAAATAGGGGCGTGCCTGACAAGAAAAGTCACAAGAAAATTTTCAACATGTCAAGGGGGAGTGGCGCTTATGGGCGGTACTTTAGCAGATGTGACTTTTTGGCGGCCAGAGAGTACTGAAAGGAAAAAAAGGGAAAAGTGGTACACGGCGAGTGGCGCCGCAGAGTTCTGGTGACTTATTTACTTACTTTGATGTGGCGCTGTCATGCATACAAAACGCAGCCACAACAGCAATAGGAGAACAGATGCCAGACCACCAAAAAAAAAGGCAAACGAGTAGACAAGAAAGCAAACAAGAAAGAAGAGAAACACAAAAAACAACTGACAAAGTCTGTAACTTCTAGCACTTAGTAAGAGCAGCAACTTATAAATGACGCTTCAGCGAAATGTGACATTAAAAGCGCAACATTATGGCCCAGACGAAGCGCAGGCTGGCGAGGAGACTGCTGAACTACGACGAGCGAGGTAAAAAAAAATTTTAGCACCCAACCAAACAGCCGCCCATACAAACGTACAAATTTACTTAAAACCAAAAAAGTAACTTTTCTCATTTCCTTGATGCTGTGGCAGCAAATGCGGTCAATGTGCGGCGAGCGGGAGGCGGCAAACTACCCGAAACGACTGACAGCCCGGGGAATGCGCCCTGCTAGCAGCCTCTAACTACTAGGCAGCTTTCTGTGTGCGCCTTCGACTACAGCAAGCCAGCATGCATTTTTCGGACGTTGGTTTCTCGGCTCATTTGGACGCTTGCTTGGTTGCTTGCTCGTAGAATGACTCTTTGCGTGCATTGGCGTTGGCAGTTGGCGACAGGACGCTTGCGGTTGTTATGCGTCCGGCCATACTTTGTCGTCCAACAACCACGAGAAAAATTTGTGAAAACTCACAATGACACCAACAAGAACTACTGCAACAACGGTTACATTATTTACGATAATACTTTTCATAT